TTTCCCAAGGACACAACGTCGGGCCCTTGACGGGATTTGAACCCACGATCTTACGGTTGCGAGTCCGAGAGCCTAATCACTAGGCCACCGACACCACGTACATACATACATGTACTTTTATCCCAAACGAGCTCAGCTCCTTGAGTCTTGAAAAGAGATATTTTCTTGATTCCAATATAGTTGAGTCTTACTTGAAAAGAGATATTAATTATTTTTCTTGATCCCAATACAGTTGAGTTTTACTTGAAAAGAGATTTTCTTGATCCCAATCCAGTTGAGTCTTAAAAAGAGATATTTTTTTCTTTATCCCAATACAGTTGAGTTTTTGGAATACATATTTTTAAAATCTTTTACCCCAGTAAAGTGTTTGCGTCTTGAGAAAATACATTTTCTTTTACCTTTGTATGATTCATACCTTGAGACGATACATTACCCCCCCCAAAAAAAAAAACACAAACAAACCCAAAACAAAACAACAACAACAAAAAAACAACAAAAAAACAACAAAAAACAAAAAAAAAATCCAACAACAAACAAACAAACAAAAAAACACACAACTAAAAAACCAGTATAGTATCGTAAAGAGATTACACAGAGAGACAGAGTCAAGTCGTTGCAGCATCCAGTTACCCTTACCCATTTGTAGTAGTAACACTGGGAAAAAAAAGAGGGGTCGGTGGGGGGTTAGCTGTATTTAGTCTTTTTGACAAAACTTTTGATAGACTCAGAAGATTTCTATTGACTAGTAATGTAGTTTCAGTCTGTCCTGTCCACTGCCTATCTCGGTTGTGGCGTAAAAATACCCCCCCCCCCCCTCTTTGTCCCAATTAGAAAAAACAAGACATAGATAAGAAAATCTATTTTTTCAAAAAAGCAGCTATATCCACCCCCATCCCCTCCCCACACCCCCTTTTAACCCCCCCTCCACAGAAAATACATGTAGGCTAACATGCAAAACCCTTAACAAAAGACACAGTAAATTAAATAAATAGTTCTCTTGTGTTGAAGAGATTTTGTCTTAGACTAGATCTATATAAAATAACAAATTAGTGCAATAAGATGTTTGAAAAGTAAGGTAAAATAACCATAGTACAATAAATAGTGTTAGAAATTTAGAAAAGTGTCTCAAAATCCCTCAGATGACAACGTCATGACTTTTGGAGCGACAGCTCAGTCTGACGTCATTGATAACTGTGTGCCTTCAGCCACGTTTAGACCACACTGACGTCATCACGGCAAACATGGCCACCAACAGTGCAGACGCTTGGAGGAAGGTACAGCCACCTGAAGGAAGACAGACGTCAGTTTTGGTTTTTTAAGTTTTCGCTTAAGAGTATTACGGCACTTTAAACACAATAAGGTCATATAAGTGCTGAAGATTAGAGGGGTTAAACGAGAGTAACAAACACCAAATAGAAGGAGGGGAGATGAGGACGATACTGTAGATGATTGATAGGAAAGAAGGAACAAACCACACAAGAGCAGCCTCCAACCACCCACAGACCATGGGGGGAGAAATAGAGGGATGGAATGGGGGCAGGAGGAGGGGAGGGGAGGGGAGTGCAGTGTGTGTGTGTGTGTGTATTCGTGTGTGTGTGTGTGTATTCGTGTGTGTGTGTGT